TCGTCAGAGAACGTGCTCTCGTGTATTAGGATCGTTGCACCTCGGCCAATTTGCACAAACGCATCGCTCGGGCGGCAGTCACCCGAGTACGCTATTTTCAAACCTGAGGGGAAGATGAAGGCTGTTGCAAGTGCCCCAAAACAATGATCGACCCAGCATCCCTCAATACTCTTCACGCCAAACTGCTCGGTTTCCTGGCTACTGAACACATGTCTTTCGCTGAGCCGCGTTTTAGGATCGAAGTGCGTAAACGGGGTAGGAACCAGGCGATCGAAGCCAAAATCTTCGACATCGGCATATTCTCGTAGCCAGTAGATCATGTGTATATGGGAGGCCACAAGAAGCTTGGCGGATGGATTGGACTTGGCTGTTTCCTCATGCCAAGCCTTGATGACCGAAACGGTACCCAAGTGATGGTCTGCATGAAGGTGACTGATCCAAATGACCTTCAGATCTCGGAGCACAGAGGGCAGCTCGTCACCAAATACACGGCGTAGCTGTCCCAAGGTATTCTCGCCCACATCGAAGAGGTAGTTTCCGTAACCCGGCACACGAACTAGAGTGGCCGAAACGTTGCGATATTTAGAAGGTAGCGCAGAGCCAGTACCAAGCGAGATAATTTCGGCGTCTCTGTTGGGGATGTCTGCTTCTACCTTCTCGACTTTCGCAATAAAGTCTGGGTCAGAGATTTTAATCTTTGCCTGCGTAGCCATCACCCAGACATCTGTATCTAAGTTGGTTTGAGCAAGTTTTTCGATGTCTGGGAATGGCACAACTTTGTCATCTTGATGTTCGTAGCGCGGAGCAAATTGTACTGTTTTCCCAACGCGGCCAATTTCATATAGGGACGGGTGGTGGGCAACAGCTCCTGAAAGTGACAGCTTATTGTTGTAGGCGGGTAAAGGGAAACGGTCGGAGTCGACACATCGTAGTTTATAGGCTTGAGCGGCCACGGATTCCAGGGCAACCATGTTGGGGCATGTATCAGGGGAGGTGACTATATGCTTCATTGACGACATTTTCTGCATGAAAGTTTGCAACCGTGTATCATTGACGACACCACGCCCTAAAATCCAGAAAATTATGCATACGCCTTTCATTATCTGGCTATCTTCCCATTCGGATCGGCTGACTAGGGCATCAACGTAGGACGTGTCCGGTAAGTTAACAACAGCAAAGCCGCTGCCTGGAACGGTCTCGCTAAGTACCATTTCTGGTGTCACCAAGTTCCCGTCCTTCCCCTTGACGCTCTCCATGTTTGTAAGGGACCGATAATCGGACTTAGCAACGCCTAGTCGTTCGGCTTCTTTGGGATTGAATTTGCCTCGCCTATCGTTCCCTTTAATGATATAACACATGGATTTCTTGGAGGGTAGTGTTCGGGGTAGGTCCGCCACCGTGGCGCCAGGCCACGGCTGGCGGACCAAGACGGGGATATCGGGCACAGCTTCGTCCCCGCCAGGCATAGGACCAGTATATACCTGTAGGTGGCCCTTTCCATTGCGCACAAATAACTTCGCTGGTAGTTTAGCTTGGTGCAATGTCGTCTCGACAAGCGCATCAGCCATCCAGTTCGAATCAAACATCTGTGTAACTATCGTTTCGGTGACCTTTTGGCTATCTTCATCGCGGGAAACGAGACTTGTTGCCGTGTTGCGCTCCCTAAATTCATCGTGGCTTCGCTTGCGCGGTCTAGTTTCAGGCGAATCTTTCTGATCACTCCTAACGGGCATATACCATACATTAATATTTGCATCCTTCCAGTCAGGCTTGGAGGTGGCGCCTTGGGCATTACGGGGGTCGGAAGCGACTTCGTAGAGATCAAGAGGGAGGCCTTTCCGGAAGATAAAGCGACGGCAGGTAGCGAGAAGGTGTGAGAGATTCTTGCCCGCATGGATCTTTAAGTTGGATCGGACATCTAGGCTGGGCTTCTTTTTCTGCTGGGTAGCGTCGTTTATTTCGGCCCGCATATCGGCGAGAGTGAGAATCAAGCCCAGTAGACCACCGGCATTGCGCCAATCAACAAGGCCAGTCAGGAAAAGGTTTTCAACTTTATTAAGAGCGAGTTTGCGCTGTGAGAAGGCGCGTTGGGTTCCCTCGGCAGCTTGGCCGAATATATAACGTTGATTGTCAAAATGGAGCAATATGGTCGTACCTGGGGTATCGGCCGTGGGCGTCGTGATTATCTGGGCGTAGTTCAGCATCCTGGTAGCGAAGGGTGAGAGCGGCGTGTACCCGGGTCTCGATCCACAGGGTTGAGCAGGGGGAAGCGAGGCGAGTGGTGCCGGAGACTTGGGGGGGAGGGGACGGAGGAGGAGAAAGCGAGCGTTTTTGTCTTGGTCGAGACGAGAGGCCCTAACTACAGAGGATACTGTCGGTTCGCCAAAAAGTGTCGTACTGGGCGGTAGGGTGTCCGCAAACGCTGACTTCGTCCAAGTAGGTAGAATTGGTATCCTCTTCGCCCTGGTTACTGCATATCTACTCTTCATCGAGTCTTATAGATGAAAATGCCCGGAATTCTGGGAGTCGTAAAATATGCTGCCATCGTCGTCATTGATCGTATATGATTCTAACCATTCGCATCGTCTTTTTATTTTTCGGGGGGTTTTGCGACTCTTATCTTATCGGAGAACACACAGTGTGCATAAGCCTCTGGGACGGCGCTGCATAATTTTAAAGCGTGCTATTCTATAATAGGCTTTTTACCTAATTAGGTAGGCATACTACCTAGACAAGTCTCTAGGTTCTAAGTTGTACTAAATGCCAAGAGTGCGGCAAATTAGGCTTAGCGTAATCGCCTCTTTTGCTTGGGTTCGGCTCACCCTATGATCAGTCAGGTGACTGAGAAGCTTATACCTAGGTAATTTATGCAATTTATGCAGCAAATAATACTCCGTAAACTTTTCCAAATTAAACCGCAATATACTAGAAGTTATGCAAGTTCTGTCAGCTTATATAAAAGAGGGGCTTACTTAAAGTAGGCTTGGCATAGCTTAGGCTAAAAGCAATATAGCTTAAGTAAGATTCCTATTATAATTTAATACTGTAATGGTTGTAGGTGGTATTGATGTTGTAGAGGTAATGGAGGCTAATGGGTGGAAACCACCGTGAGGGGTAATATATAGACACTGTATCGCACCTGCCCCCTACACCCGGCCAAACCTCCCACCACGAGCACCGCCGAGGGGAAAACTCCAGACCAGTCAATAACACGAGAACCTCATTCTGACCATCTCAACCGTTCAATTCTTCATATTCCATTCTTTCCCCCGTAGCTAGTAAATCTGTGACCAGACCTCACACAACAAACAGACTGACAGACAGACAGACAGACACAAACACACGTCAACGGCATTCAACTGTCCACCACGGGGTTTAATCAAGTAATCTTCTGATATGTCGCGGTCGACGACGACATTGTAATAAATCAAGAGACAAAGGAAGGTCTGTATAATCTCCGCGTAAGAGAGAGAGGTGGAGGAATGGCGAGCCGGTTGCTTAAGCCATACGTATGCGTTCAACCCGGGAATTCTTTTATCGGGGATCCTTCACGGGGATTCTCCGTCGTATTAGACATTAGATCGGATAATTCATGTTTGCCGCAGTGGGAAACCAAAGGCATGCATGGGTAGCGAATTTGCAGCTCTCACCACTTGTAATGTGGATGGCCCTCACCGTACGGCTGATTCACACGAACGATCGGAGGGCTGTTCACCCCCATCCGAAGCGGCGTTCATTCACAGGGCTGACGGTCAAGGCAACGGCACAGTAGACATGAGGCCATTCCCACATACACACAAGCACAAACAGTCGCAGTTCGATAGCAGGCGTCACCTTTAAGGCCGGGAGTACGGCTCTCACAGCCTTGTAAAGCCTAAGGCCACACAGGTAGCATTAGCATTGCAGAGCGGTGCCTTAATGTCAGAGGAGGATGCCCCGGAGTGAATAGAAAGCCTGTAGCAGCTAGGAAGAAGGGTGTAGTATAGGGCTCAATAGATAGATCAATTGATTCCTAGGCCTCCTAGTCCCCTAGGGGGGGCCAGAGGTACTATATATATAGCCAAATCACTAATATAGCCACCCTATAGGATCTAGGCGACTTTATCACCTAACACTTAAATAAGCTGAAGGAAAAGCTCTACGGTAGAGTGAAAGTGCGGTGCTGTCATACAAACTTCAGAGTAAACCATTACAATACTCTGTATATATCCCAAAAGCGGCGATCTGGGGGAGCAAACATGGGAGCAAACTATTCAGCTACCCGTGATGTTTTTTGTGAGTAGAACCAATGATCGTGCCTGGCCGAAAAGGTCCGAGGGACAAAAACGGAGCTATCTGTATAAGCAGAGACCTAGGTCGTCGCCGGCCAGAGAGGGGATTCAGACCTTATGGCCCCTTGAAGATTACTGTAATATGAAAACCAATTCCAAGCCCTCACATGTGCCCTTATAACAGGTGCTTTATCAGTTCAAAAAGAAAATAGCACGTTAGCAGCCAGAGCATCACTAAAGTAGTCAACGAACGCTATCACGAAAAACGAAACCATCACAAGAAGCCTAGCGATAGGGCGTGAGGCAGTAGCCCTAGATGAGGGTGTACGAGATAAGAAAGATTATGATCAGCCGAGGGCAGGATTCCAACCTAACAATGTTGCCAGACGATCTAGTATGGAGATTATTAAGATAGATATTAAGGGCAGCTGTAACAAGGGAATTTATGGCTTGTCTACGAGGGTGTACGTGGTCACGAAAAGTTAAGGAAACACAAGCAATAGATCACAGAAAGTTGCTCGCAGTCACATATAATTTCTTATACTAGGAGCAGAACAGAGCAGAGGCTGAAGCTGAAGGAGAGCTAATACCTAGTAGTAGTTCGGACAGTATTTTAACTTTAAAACGGTACACAGAGCCAGAATCACTAGATAATCTACCTAGATTGAGGCAAAAGGTAGGAGTTATGAGGCTTAATTATGCTACAACTTTTTAATATGCAAGTAAAAGCCTAAAGTGGTGTAGTGGTAACACGCCAAGGTGACTGCTAAGTTTCTCGCTGAGGGCTTAGTCCCTTCGGGGGCGGAGGAGTCCCAGGTTCGATTCCTGGCTTTGGGGAATTTTTTCTTTTTGTCTTTTAACTATTACTACCTAGCCAACTAGTATTGCTTAGCTGCTACTACTACTACTACCTACTACTATTTATATAATATTAAAAATTATGCAAGTTTTTAGTTCGTATTGCATTATAAAAAGGGGGGTCGGGCTTAGGCCGGGCTCAGGCTAAAAGCGGCATGGCTCAGGTGAAAGTCCCATCCCGGTTCGGGACAGTAAAACCTATCTCAAAGGTAATCTACCTAGGTCTATTCAATGGTAAAAAAAACCTCGACAGCATATTGAGAGGGAATTTAGGATAGGTTTACTCTATATAGTGAGGTCAGGACCTCAGTCTGTATACAGATTAGACCTCGTGATTATATAAGCGGAGGAGAGGTCCACGCTCACTCACGGGGCCACAAACCCTACCTATTTATTGTATTAGGGTACTGGCGTATTATTTCCTATCAAGTACATGTCACCATTTATTCCTGCTTAATGCCAATCTCAGCCTCTAAGTTAGTTAGTCACCCGGTAGTAACTCAGGAGTTAATACATCTCACTTGGGTATTTCCCCTCGAAGTAACCCAACGTCTCTATACGCCACACATTACGTAGTCCACCTATGTTAGCCGCCACTTTACATAGGTAGTAGTAGATGGAGGTACTAAAAACAGATTAAGTGTTTGGCCCTTTTTAGATACCTTGCGTAGGTAGGATGCAAGGGCGGTCAACGTAGGTAGAGGCGACCAAATATCAATATTCGTTTGCGCCCGTAGAAACGGTCGACAGGTCCTGCCCCTTCTTAGTGTCAGGTCAAATTATCGTAGCATCTGGTCTTCAGCAAATTTCGCTTGTTTGCGAGAATTTTTATTACTGGTTTACGCTGTTTTTGAAGCAGGCCGTGATGAATATCGCGGGGAATCCCGGATATATGGCAGTAGAATCTCTAGGATATCTCACAATACCCATATTGATATCTTTCAATAATACCAACTTAGTATACTAGCGGCCCAAGGGGCTAAGAATCTGAGGACCTCTATATGGCTGAATAAAAAAAGAATGTCTCAATTCCACAAGTGTTGGGGTCATACAATGCACCATCGACAAGAGCCTAGTTGGAACTAACCAGCCTATTAGACTAGACACTCATATACCGGAATGACCTTAGTATCGGGAACTCGAAATCTTGCATTTGATAATATGGCCTTCTCGTGTTCCGGGCGTGATACGCCGACCTTGATTATACCACTAGATGAGTACCAAACAGCTGGGCCTAATGCTTATGATTCAGGGACTCTAGTTCTCAACTTATCCAGGCTCTAATTATTTGGTGAGATTCGGCCCGAGGCAGCCACATTACCTGGAATTCGAACTGACATCAAAATGGGGGAATGGTTTCAAAACACACAGTAATATAATTTCTACACGGTTCTACTGATAATTACATTTGACTTTGATAGTAAAGTTCGCTGGGCCCCGTGCGTATACGAGAAAACGCCCGCGTGACGACGCCAAAGACGGCGAAGACGTTGCTATAAAAGTCCAAAACATCATGATGAAACCAAGTGATATGCCGATCGCCGGATTCTCGGCCGGTTCGGTCCGGCGATACGCTAGTATCTGCCTATACGAAATGCACGAGACTTGCGTACCTCGACAATTCTGACTACAAGCAGAAAAGAAAACGCCCCCAGTGGCGTTTTTAACCACTCATTACGCAGTACCTGTCCATGATGAGCACTAGCTTCTGATTCCTATATATGTCGATGAGTCTCGTTATCCCCAGACAGGCGACCAAGGACTACCCTGATAGTCCTGTACAATAATTACGTATATGCATGCACCCACCTATGGTACAGAGACTACGAGGTCGGGCGATGTGTGCTCCTCGATGCAATTAGGTAATGTTAAAAATACGGCTAATGATACAGACCTAGCCCGGTGAATTGCGCTGATAGTGGCTCCGTCCCCGGCCCGAGATCTTGGTGTTCTTCGTCCGACGTCCGACGTCCACTTGACACTCACTCATTAATAAATACATTGCTCCCGTCGCACGGCTATCTCGCAACCCTTCTAGGTATACTCAACCCCAGCGAGCAATACGTGTTAAGACGGCTTCCCAGTCACGTCAACACACCGCGATGACGAGTTACAACGCGAAAAAGGAGGGCGAGGTACTAGGTTAGGAACTAGGAAGGATGGGGTGATGGTCACGGAATTAAAACATTGGCCGATACGGAGCCTGATACCTCTAATCCCGATATTCCATTCTGATGTTTCACGGACGGCATGGCCTGCATTAGGATTAGATGGATAATCGAGATTTCCTAGGATATCAGGAACGAACAACATACCGAACGATTGCTCTTACACCGAATCGGACTGATGGCCGACATAACTTGAGGTCTAGATCCAGACCTGGACCTATCTGTTCCTATTGGGGCAGCATGAAGCGACCTAGCGAATCCTTCCGCTAGGGCCTATCCTACTCGATATCCAGTAAGAGCGACAGCAATCATCTACAGTAATCCGCACATCAATCACGAACGTGTTCTTCGAGCGCCACGCGTCAATATCTATCAAGACTCGGGTTCATATCGTGCGATCTATTTTCTTATCCGCTTACTTCCGACATACTCCCTTTTTCTCGACAGTAGTCGAGCCGCACTGCAGCACCACAGATAAGCGCTAGCACTAAGGTTGCATAAAAGGATTCCGTACCGCGCAGATACGAATAACCCAGATAACCACCAAGGAGGTATTCTTTATCTTGTTCCGTGCCGTCTCAATGCGGGACGTACCACAGAGAACATATAGCTAAACTGCATATATCCATACTCTGAAAGCCTCATACCGGACACTTAACTGCATTCTTACATCAGGTATACAGAGAGCCGATTGAAGCGGGACGAGCGCCTATCGATGGAGAGAGAGAGCATGTACAGCGTCGGTTCTGGACGGTGATTCTTCGAACAAGTGTATTCTAAGAGCCCATATTTTCCTACGCTTTAATAGCGTCGCTATTCGCGACTTTCTATCCGAATCAATGATATGATATCATTTGAAGCCATCGAGCCTCTACTCGTCATTCTTACCGCCGCCATGCTAGAAGCTTATTTACACCGACTAATACCAGCTAACATTGACTAATGTCATAGGCCGCTCAAGAACAACGTCGATGTGGTACTCGACTTTCGCTAACCAATTGCAAGCGTGCTGCGGAATGCTGTTCACGACGAACCACGCCTTCCTCCATCGTCCAGAACCGTTCGAAGTTGGAAAAGACCATGGGTTCCTTAGTAATATAAACAACAACGGCGAACATCGCCAAAAACGGCATGCCGTAGGTACTGCATGTCACGGCTCCACGTGAGCATGTAAGTGACTGTAGATGGCCAAATTGCCGATTTGGCTACATTTTACCTATGGTAGTGTTGTGGTTTGGCCCTGTGGCTCCCTTACGTGACACCGTAGGACCTTTAATCACGACATCATTGGGCCGCAGTATTGCAAGTATGCGCAGCCAACTGCGCCTGCATTGCATGTGCTGACTGGTAATGTGACGAATAGGTAGCGTCACCGCTCGGCTCCGCGTTAAACGTAGGGAGGTTTAAAAAAGCCCGGTTCATTATACTCCCTTGGATGATCTCCAGTCTCCAATGGCCGGGGGTGTATTTCCCTCCTACAATAAATAAGTAACGGTATTGCCAGCTCGACTAGATATCGATGCAGCGACTACGAGAACTCTTGTCCCGACGTGTTAGGGCCTATAGAGGTGCCACTAAACTCTGCAATGAAGCAGGCTGGCCTCCCCTGGCCTGTCGGAGGACGATCATCAATCCCGTCCGAGCACAATACACGTGACAATGGACATCGCGAGTTTATGCAGAACTTAGATACTCAACGGGATCCCGGCAGTCGCGCGCAGGTCCAAGGGATAGGAAACAGGGAGGCGGGCGGATAAGCATGCAGGGTGTTACCGGGCACACCCCGAAGTCTGTCGGTAACGACCTCAGGCACTTAGAGGTCTTGGAATGGGGGGTGGCACAGCATCATAAGTGCTGAGCTAATAATGTCTACGCTCTTCACCGCCAATACCGGCGGATTATCAAGCGGCTGGACCAGCACGTCTCGAAAGTTAAAGTCGACCTCCACGCTAATGCGGCGTGCACGACTGATACGTGAGGTGTATCGGTGTGCATAGGTAACGGGGCCGCTTATTTTGAAGTCATTCCAACGGTCTCTTGTCGGACGAGCTATGGGTTACGTAGATAGAAAATTCAATCGTATGGTCTAAAGCGGATTTACCAAGTATGTCGATCTACGTGGAGGACCAGCCAAACCAGAGAGCCCCAACTCCATTGCCTTGCGGTGACCGCGTTGGAAGAACTGTGCCAACCATATATACAATAAAAGATGCAAGATCGTCCTCCAATAGGGGAAGACAGTGTTATATATATACACGCCATGTATCATGGTCGCAATCGTGATCGTTGTGCGTGCGGGCATGAGCACGGGCTAGTCCTTTCGCATCAACTGCTCCGCAAGCGGTGAACATATGTCGTAGTTCGTGTGGAAGAACTCAGCCGTCTCGCCGCTGCGCCGCTGCATCTCGTTATCGAACAGGTTCAGCATGGCGCCGACGCCCGGTATCCTCTCCAACCGGTTGACGGACTGTCGCCATGCTTCCATGTGTCTCGTGCCCGCTAGAGCATTCAGTTCACGCACGCGCGTCTCTAGTGCCTCCAGCACAGCTGGGTTTTCTTTTGGCGGCCCCTGCCCGTTTGTCGACGGCGCTTTGCGCATCCATTCTAGGTATTCTGCCACCACCGAGGAAATCCCCGCGATTTCTGCCTGCGTGTTAAATACCGCCATGCCGAAGGCCGTGAGCTCGGCCAGGATGTGGTTGGCGTCTTCCGCTCTGTGTCCCCTCCCACTAGGCGAGGGCGGTGGTGATGTCGCCGATGTAGATGAGCCGTTTGCTATCCTAACTTCCCGGAGACTAGGCATCTGCCTGT